TGTGAGGTCCCCCACACCAGCCAGAGTAAGCGCCACACACTCAGTGTGACCTGGGAAGTCCTATGTTATGAGGAGAATTCTTAATATGGAGTTCTGTTTAACTGTTTTTGTGGAATTATTAATTTTATGAGCTCAGTAACAAAAGCAGGATAATAAGAAAATTACACAAGTTTGATAAAATATTATGTGTAACTAGTCATTCAAAGCTATTTTCTTTCATACAATACTTTTTCCCGGATACACTACCACATAAGGCACTTAACACATAGTTTTATTAAGCTACGTCTCTTTGTCTTCAAGTAAGATTCAGTAACAATATATACACTGAAAAAATGTCATATCACTTCCCTCTTGTTGGAAGATAAGAGACAAACTCTTACAGCCTATGATATGGGTTGAAACTTTGCCAATCAATGACTCTTCTGTGAATCTAGACCATTTTTTCTCAGAATCTAGCAATAAGACAAGTTATATCTTGGACTCTGGTGACAGCATGTAGATCACTTGTACTTATTCTGCCAAAACCTGGTATTGAGCAGAGCCCCTGGGAGTCCTACATAGCAATAAATGGGATGGAGGAGAAGGGAGATCAAGGACAGCTTTTAAAATTGACTTTTATTCTACTTAAAGTCGCACAGAATGGTATGACCCTGCTTGTAGACATCTCTCTGCGGCACAGTTCCAAGGAAATAAGTTCTATATTGATCCTTAGCATTAGTATGGCTGTATTAAACGGAGTCCCTCCAATGTATTTCATAACAAATTGAACTCAAAAAAAAGATCTCATTTTATCTGTATTACTGCTTCATAAGAGCACATTCACTTTAATATGATTGTCTTGAGACAGGGTCATTTTGGAGGAAAGGATGTTTTATATTCTTCCTTATTATTTCCTCTTTGATATGTCTAGTGGTTTTCTTAATGATAGCATAAGATACATTTATGATAAATTTTCTAGAATATTCATTCTCAGGACTCCTAGGTACAGTATTTTCTATTCTACTTGTTTTCTCCCTTCTTTTGTGATACTGTACATTCTACTGCTTCTTTTTCTTTTCTGTTTGTTTGTTTTTGTTGTTGTTTTAGCGGTTTTGGGAATTGAACCCAGGGCCTTGTGCATGCTAGGCAAGCATTCCACATCTGAGCTACATCAACAGCCCATCTCCTGCTTCTTTGACCTATTCCTGATATTCATTTCTCTTAGCTTAGAACTTACTCTTAGGCACCACACTAAAAGAAATGATCTTAAGTAATGCATGCTACTACATAACCCAGACTTAGTATATGTGGGTTAGTAGCTTTGGAAAGGCTCCTTGATGATGTTGGCTTCTAAGCTAAGCCCAAAGTATAAATAGGAATTAACCCACTGAAGACAGGATAAGAATTCTGCAGCATGTACAAATTTCTCAATGCAGGGAAAAGAAGCTACAATTGGGGAACTACTGGCAATATTTTATGGTTTAAAAGTAGAGTGAAAAGCTGCAGAGATAAACTAAGGGCTCTGAACATGAAGGAAAAAAAAGTTCTTCTTTTGTTTGAAAGAAAGACAGAAACCAATTAAGGATTTTAATCAAGAGAATAACATATTTTAATTTATACCCTAAGAAGTCTCTGGAAAAAAAAAGGTACCAAATGGTTTGAATATGGTAATTTTACAAACAAAAAGCACTAATTTCCATTTACATGTTGCCATTGTTGAATTTATTTTGGTGTGATACTATAGTCTTCAAAAATCTGAAATGTGGGTCATTTAAGTAGAGTATAATGATACATGTATTAAATCTACGCTAAAAGATTAATCTATTCAAAATTGGTATGTCTTGAGTCACTGCATGCTAAAATCTTGTAGTAGTGAGCCATTTGTCCTTGTTAAGACAATAGGCTAGAGAAGCTCTTACCACATGTGCAACTGTGAAGTTTTTTCATAGTAAAAATTATTGCTGAAAAAATCCTTTTTCCTGTCAGTTATATTCTAATTAAAATATCTAGTTGAAGAAACGCACATTCATTTTGAAAGCATCCTTCTATACCTATATAATTCTCAAGAAGAGAAAGAACACAGTTGAAAAAAGTTTCTATTTTAAAAGTATTTTTCACGGTAGCTCACAGACTTTCCTGAACAAGTTAATTTGAGCATGAGATTATTGAGCTAATAGCAGATAACTGCTTGCTATGAATCTCCACTTTTATGGGATCAAACTAAAAAAAGGGAAAGAAAAGGACTAGTAATGCTTTCTTTAAAACAAAAACTACAGCTCATTATCAATGAAAAGATTATAGTCCCTGTCAAAAAATTAAGTTACTCAAAATGGTCCCTTCAAAAATGATAATGAGAACTGGCATTACTTAAAGTAAAGGAGGCTGAGAAAAACACTTGGATTTCACTTTTAACTATTGCCTTACTCTTCCCCTAAGTAGTATAAAATCAAAAAGAATTTTTCTGTCACCTTGAAAAATTGGCCTCAAATGTCCTTATATCCCAGTAGTGACACCTTTCAGATTTATTTTTTAAAGCTAATTACTTGATAGTGTCAAATATTTCATTTTCAAATCATTAAATATTCATACTTTTACATCATGTCTTGGAAACATTTCATTGATTTTATATGCAAATAATATTTTGCATGATATTTTATTGTTTATCACCTTAAGAATCAATTTCACTTAATATTTTACAAAAAAATGTCAAATTTTCTATTTGAATTATATCAAATGCTTGAGGACAATCATTTTATTTTATGAATCCTGAGCTTTTATTTTGCAAAAACATTGAAATAAGAGTATTATCATTTTTCTCCAGTATTGCTTTCATCAGCAAAATAGTTAATAGGCTCCTGTATTCCTTCAATGATGGTGGTGGGCCAGTGTAGACAATGGTGATGGAGAGAGAGAGGGAGAGAGAACATTCAAGCAGAGGAATGAGTCACAAACAACAAGCCTTGGCAATGTAGGGTATTTAGCATATGTGGAAGAAGAGGGAAAAAAGATACTCTGCCTTCTTTATGAACTTTGAGCAGATAAGGATGTGCACATTACCATTCACACACACACACACACACACACACACAAATGAATGTAGAGAAAAAGGAAAGTTGAGAGTAGAGGAAGAAAAGACAGAGAAGCAAGAAGACAAAAAACATCTTTAAGAAATGCTATAATTAAATAATTAAATGTTCAGAAATTGATATGTTCTCCCCCTGCTGTGTCTGTCTTGCTTCTTAGAAATTTTAAATACCCCAAAGGTATTGAGATGATACTGTGACCTCCTCTGGGGCAGCAGAGAGTTAAATTCCTTTAACACATGTGCACTTGTCTTTTTCTAAGTAGACAATGAATGACAAACAGCTGGAGGCTCATCACAGGGCTCCCCACAGCTCCTTAAACCTAAGTTATCTAGAGTCTGGCTAGAGCCAGTGCCCCTGAAGTTTATTGCCAACAAGTGATGTTAAGAGTAATTTTGAATCTAATAGTAAGAAATTCAGTGTATGTATATGGAAAGACTAATGTTCTCATACATTCTCATAATTAGAATACGAATATATTTTTCCCAAATGATGATTCTTTAAAGTGAACATTCTTTTAGTATTGTTAGGAGATCCCTAAAATCTGGACAGGGGACCTAACTACTTTTATCTGTAACTTGAAATATGTTTTCCCATTAAAAAGAAAAAGAAAATTTGTTAAAAAGTAATTTAAGGACATAACTACCTGGGAGCTGCTTATACTTTACATTAGTAAATGTCAAGTTTTAAAACTTTGCTAAGGTGAGTCAGTGCTGAGAGTGTCAAGGTAGATCACTAAGCTACTCTAATGTGTATTAAGGAAATTGTACTGAAATTGTTCTGTATTTTTTAGCTTGTGACCATGTGTCCGTCCCCTCCTTTTTTTTGTTTTTTGCTTCTCTCTTACTTGCTGCATATTTAGAAATTCATGTTATACCTAATATGAATAGAGTATTTTATAGAACTCTTTTTTTAATACCAAGTTTGAAAAACTTAACAAGAAGGCTTAAAGTTTTAATCCCCTAATTGTCACTAAGGCTGAGAGCATAAGAAGCTTAATACTGCAATTTTGTTTTCTGTGATTAGAACTGAGAAGACCCACAAAAAGGCCTTTTTGGCAGTGGTCAAATAGCTGTGTTGCCAGTCAAGTGACACTCTGATACCTTGGTATTGGCTTATTTTTGCCATGTTTACTTTTTTTCAATTCAGTTTTTCTTCTGTGATAGAGTATGCATAACCATTTTAAGTGGACAGTTTAGTGGCGTTAAGTACATTCATATTAGTCTGTAACCATCAACAACATCTCTCTCCACTTTTTTATCTTTCACAACTGAAATTAAAAACACATTGAACACTCTGTCTCCCACCCTCAAGCCCCCTAACTCCAGTTTGCAGCAACTACAGTCTACTCTCTGTATCTACGAATATTTGTCCTCTTATGGATGGCTTATTTCACTTGGCGTGATGTAATGAAGTTTCATCCGTATAGAAGCATGTGCCAGCATTTCCATCCTTTCTTTTTAAACATTCCAGAATTTTAATTTATAAAAAATAACTGGTCAATTAATACTCATCGAAATTCAAATCAAGACCATATTGAGATACTGTTTGATACTATTCAATTGGGAATAATTAGAAATGCTGATGGAATGTGATCATTATATATTATATACATGTATTGAAATGCCATATGTATGTTATAAATATGTACAGTTTTTATGTGATAAAAGTATGTATACATATAAGATTGAACAAAGTGTGCGAATGGATATAAATACAATCTTTATATACTGATGGGGGTAGGAGGTCCTGTAAAAGGGTACAATCACTTGGGAAAACATTTTTTTTTTGCCATGTTTAACGTGAAAATAAAGTTGAGGGTTTCTAGAGCCTTAAAACTCTGTACTGTCACATAAAAATGGTTTCTGAAGTATGAAGGCTATTTGAGGTCCTACTGTGAACAAGCAATATAGGTGTTACCTTTCAAATTTATTTCAGGAATCTCTACTACAGGACCTCTGGGCATTGGAAGCACCACCACAAGTACCACCCTTCGGACTACAACTTGGAGCCTAGGAAAGAGTACCACCCCATCAGTGTCAGGAAGAAGGAACCGGAGCACCAGCACCCCATCTCCAGCTGTGGAGGTTCTTGATGACATAACCACACACATACCATCAGCATCCTCCCAGGTCCCAGCTTTGGAAGAGAGCTGTGAGGCTGTGGAAGCTCGAGAAATCATGTGGTTTAAGACCCGTCAAGGACAAATAGCAAAGCAGCCATGCCCTGCAGGAACTATAGGTAAGTCTGTCCTAGAGAACCAAAAGTTAACAATATTTTTGTACTTTAACTTGAATTCCTAGAGTTCTTTTATATTCGCACCCCCCACCCTCTGTCTTTGGTTACTACATATTTTGTTACTTCATATTCGGTTGAATTCTGAACTCAGCTAAATTACAATTTAAAGCAATGTATTGTCAAGAGTTTGAAAATGCACTCTGCGGAGTTCACAGGTGAGAATTGGGTAGGAATACCTGTTAGATCAGTAGTGTTCAGTGTGGGTCTTGGAGTCAAATTACAGTTAAGCTGTAGATGTTCCTGCTACTTCAGGGAGGTATCTTTTCTCTGCAGGGCTGAAGAGGGAATCCCTGATGGCTGGGTTTCCACATGCTTGTCTCCAGTGGTGAAATACTGGTTGCAGAAAATGAGGTCCAGGACATCTATATTAGAAGATCAGTGAGCTGACATAGCATTTAACAAAAGAAATTTTCACCTGTTATTATAGTTGTCCCCTAGTGGTCAAAGGCTCTTAAGATTGTCAGGAACCATGCTGGCAGGAGCCACCTCCCACTAACCCACATTCCTGAGAGGGCAATCCCACAATGTGGTCTCTAGGCAACAGTGAAGAACTAAATAGCTCTTTACCTGTTTTATTACTAACATATTTATCATATTTCCAAACTGTAATTCTGTTATTATTTACTATATTTAAGAAAGAAATATGCTGATTTTTTTATTGTTACATACGTTTTGGATCTTTATAAATTGCTACTTGACACATTTTTAAAAATTTGCATTATTTCCTAAAATATACAAATATTTACACAATAGATTTTGCAAACCTACCCTTCTTAGAGACTGTGTCTGGTATCAGATTTGGTTACTTTAAGGAAGAAGCATTTTATTAGAAAGTTCCAACATGATATATCATTCCAAATTCCATGGTATATGAAATGGTGGGAAAACCAATGAGTATCTTGGTTTTTATAGAAGTGATATATTTTTAACAAAGCACTTAATTATTCAATAATCTTTTTTTCTTTTATGAAAAGTAGGGTGTATATTTATTTCTAAAGTTTCCTGTATATTGAAATCAGTAAGCCATTCAATCCCTCCTTCTTTCTCAGTTCTCAGCCTCAGTTCCTTCATCACTAAAAGAGAAATAACAACAGCCTCCATACTTGAGATATTTGTCCTGAAGATTAGTGAAACACTTTATTTGAAAGCACTTTGCAGTACAAAAATATGCCATTATTGTTGTGTGAAAATTAGAGAAGAGGTTTAAAGAAAATCTTCTGAAGGCAGTGCAGAAATAAAGGTTACTGTCAGTGAACATCTAACTTAGTATATGCTCCTCCGTCCACTCTGTAATTCCTTGTTCTAGGCCCTCACAGCTTCTCACTTGAATTACACCAATAGCTTTCTCACAACATCCCCATCACTTCCTCAAATTCATCCTCCATTCTGATGCCAGATTTATCTCTGTAACACCAACATCTGCTCATTTCTCTCCTCTCCTTAGTGGTCTTCTTTGATTTTCAGCACCCACACATGATAGACAAGGGACTTTGCGATCTGACTTTGCCTCCCTTTCCAGCTCCATTTGTCCAGTAGACTCCAGTTCCAAAAATTTGGAGTCTCCAAAAGACAGCGTATATTTCCTCCACTTGGAATCTCCTTTCCCACCTGTTTTCCTGAAAGACCTGTACACGGATTCCTTTGAGACTCTTGTATCCTGACTCAAGCAAGAAGGTCCATGTTACAGAAGTACCACATCGATTGAATTCAGGAAATTCTTCCCAAACCCTGCACAGTTGCAGCAAGTTTTTAAAAATAACAAAATGTTTTTGTTTGTTGTACAGTATTTTTCCAATGCCAACTCTTTGCCAGGCACCGTATCTGGAGTTTAATAGACATATCTCAATTTAATTATCTCACTTTTACTTTCATTTATATTTAAGCATAGCAAGGATGTGGAGTCATTCTAAGAAAAATGGTTTAAGTATTCGAAACAGACATATTTCTCTCATTATTATAGGTGTATCAACTTACCTATGCCTTGCTCCTGATGGAATTTGGGATCCCCAAGGACCAGATCTCAGCAACTGTTCTTCTCCTTGGGTCAATCATATAACACAGAAGGTAAATCGTGTGACTAATAAGGAAGGCTTTGCTAAATCTATATCCTCTGTTGCTGATTGTTAACTGTTGAAAACAAAACAGTCAGGAGTTTTGTTTTGTTTTGTTTTTTTAAATCAATGTAGGAAAACTCTCTGTTTGCAAATGTAAAGCCATAAGGTCAAAGACAACATATTAATTATAAAATAAATAGAAATAATAGCAGAAATGAAAAAGAAACACTCTCTATTTTTTAATTTCAGATTTAAAGACAACCCCCATTATACTAATGGCTAATTTTATAATTTGATGTTTTTAAAGTGGGAATCCTTGAATTTCTTCTAAGCCTGATGGTATTACTTATAATAATTTTATTATTAATAAAATTTCTATGGTATTGTGAACTACAGATGTAAAAGTCTAAGAGACATTAGGTCTCAAACAAACAAAAGCTTCTAGCATATATGCATTTGGATTTTTCCTGTGTAAATCATAATTAAGATTAAAAAAAAAAGTTTACCTTTGGAATTTAAGCCACTTGATAAATGTTCTCTAACTAATCATTTATCAGTGCTAAAAGTATATACATGTGTGACAGAATCTTGCAGACTCAAAATTTCAGGGCCTATTTAGTTGCAATATGTTGAACATTTTTATTATTAATGCACTGTGGGGCTTTGAATTGATTTCATTACAAACAGAGACCAGATGTGCATTTATGCCAAAAGGGCTGTGAGATGGATCCTTATTATAGCAATTTATGTGGATTTATGCACTCCTAAAATGGAGAGTCCTTCTATGGCACATTAGCTATGCTGAGGAATTTCTGAAAGAGATTTTTCCTGAGAAATATTACAAATGATGGCCTTACTAAAAGCATGCCTGTGCCATTTGCTCTTTTCTCTATTTGTTTTTAACCAGGCTTATCCTCAATAATATACTGTATAACAATCCATAAATATCTACCCAGTAGATCATTTAGCAGATGAACCATAACTATCTATTTACCCTAAATCATGGAAGAACAGTGGCTATATTGACTCTAGTTACCCTCTTACATATGCATCTCCATACTTGTTGCTATTCATAATGATGCTTCTCCAATTTCAGCACTATTCCTGCCACAGTTTTTATGTCCTTTGATTTCATTACAATGTAGCTCAGACCCCAGGGCAAATAACTCTTGCTGGATATATCAGATTAAGAGATCAGTAGCATATCTTTTTACATTAGCAACTTTTAAAAAATACTCCCTAGCTCCTTAGCCCAGGGGTTAATATAAATTCAATAATAATTCACCTACAAAGCTAAGTGTTTTCATGATAATTTCTGAATGTGGTTGGACTATTTCATTGCAGAAATTACTGGATGACTTGAACTGATAATGATATTTAATTCCTTTCTTTCCTTTGCAGCCCTTCTAATCTTAGGACAAAAGAGATAATTCCTTTCAAAGACCAGACAGCTGTTGGCCATTTGATTTATGGATGAGATGTTTTTGTTTTGTTACATGGCCTGTACTTTCAGAGCATTTCTTTTTAATTCTAATGAATCTATAAGATTATATTATATTGTATTGTAATTATATTAAAATTAAATAATTTAAGGAGCTGAAATTTATAATAATTCCTTAAATGTGTAAACTCTAAGAGGAGGCTTTTGAGTGCTCTGAATTAGCGTTTAACTCACCCAGGGTCTGCCCAAGTATATCTGAGGTTTTAGCTGGTTCTGCTTCCTCTTGACTTCACATCCTTCACCACAGTGGTTAAGCTGTACAGAGATTACAATGGCCTTCACATCACCATGTTCACTTACCTAGGTAGTCTCTCCTCACTCTGTCCACCCTTACCTAGTTGTGTCTCTCATGCCTCCAGATATTTCCACGACTCACTGAACTTAAATGATGGTTGAACATATTTCTTAACCACAAAACAACAGCACTTTTAAATATTAGCATTGTAAACCTCCAAGAAAGGATAATCCATGCATATTGTCCATCGAGTTATTCATTAGCTTTTTCCTCCCTACACATCCGCCACATAAATCCTTCCATTCCTCATCTCTTTGCACATCCCAACACCAAGGTCCCAACAATAAACAGATGGACCTTTCCATGAGGGTGTGTTTACAGTGGCACTTGGGCAGTGAAGACAGACTGCAAGGGCCTGAGCTGCAACCCAGAGCTAGTAATAGAGCAAGAGCTGTTCCCAACCTTAAGGCCTTGTAGATAAATAGATTAGAAATTGGAAGCAGAATGCCTTTGAGAAGCTCCCACTCTCTTTCCATTCAACCACCCCACTGGCCAGAACCACTGGAAGCCACAACTGAGGGGCTTGCTTAATGAATTCTGTTTAAGTCCACCTCCTAGGGTGGAGAGCAGGCTGGAAGAGGGTGGAACAGGACCCTGAACTGGCAGAGGAAAGTTGCTGCCCAACACAGTGCTGAGATTTTCTCTACTCCCTTCTTTAACTTTCTTTCTGTATTAGTCAGCTTTTTTGCTGCTGTGACTAAAAGACCTGACAAGAACAATTTTGGAGGAGGGAAAGTTTATTTAGGGGCTTATGATTTCAGAGGTCTCAGTCCATAGATGGTTAACTCCATTGCTTGGGGCTTGAGGTGAGGCTGTACATCAGAAGAATATGGTGGAGGGAGCAGCTCACATGATGTCCAGAAGGCAGAGAAAGACTCTACTCTTCAGACAAAATACATACCCCAAAGGCATGCATCCAGGGACCCACCTCCTCCAACCACACCTTACCCGCCTTCAGCCATCACCCAGTTAATCCCATCAAGGAGATAATTCACTGATTGGGTTAAGGCTTTCATAACCCAGTCATTTCTCCTCTAAACCTTCTTGCATTGTCTCACACATGAGCTTTTGAGGGACACCTGACATCCAAACCTTAACACTTCCTTTCTTACTCTTTCTTCTCTCTCCTTCCTTTCTGGTTTTCTAACCCCTCTCCTCTGCTCTGAATTCCTACTTCTCTTTTTATGATTTTTTTCTGTCATATTTGAAAATTATAATTTTCTCACCAGTAAATATAATTTTCTCCCCAGCACCTAGAATACTTTCTTGATGAGAACTAATAAAAGACAGAATTTTTACAGAAAGGGAAATTTTTCCCAATGATGATATGTGAGGGAGGTCTTTAAATAGAAGAGTGGAAGGCTGGATGGATCTAGGTGAGTGAATGGATGGATAGATGGAAAAGTAGATCAAAAGGCAACAATTAGCTCTGAGCCTTGGATCCTGAAATATATGTGACAAAATATCATATTTCCTTGCCTTCTTCAAAATCATAATCTCTGATTCTGCTTGATCTCTAGCTTATATTCAATTCTTCAAAAAGGAGTTTGTATTTCTACCTTGTGTACTTTTAAAGAATTAATTTCATTTTTTAATTTTACCAGACATTTTTCATTTAAAATTCTATCTTGAGAGCTGGGGATGTGGTTCAGTGCTACAGTGCTCTCCTAGCATGCACCAGGCCATAGGTTTGATCTGCAGCACCTGAGAATGGAGGAGAGTTATAGACAACTAAGATCTCTGACATTACAGTTTTGAATTGCTTCCTTATTGTTTACATGCAAAATGAGGTGTGGCCTAGTTCAACTACTAGTGGAAAAGAATTATCTTGAGTTGTCACAGGCAATAGTTTTTTTTTTTTTTATTTCTAAAAAAATGGGTGTTCCTTTCTTTTATCTGTACACAAGTTATTGGCAGATTTTGAGAATGTGAGTTTCTTCCTACATTTTCTAAACAGAAGTGTGAAGATCTAGGATTGATATTGCTATTTTATGATTTTAAAAAAAGCCAACTTTTTGTCCTGGGAGATTAGATTATAATCTGTCTTCTATATCTTAATTACCCCATTTTAACTTCCTAAGATCAAGAATGAAATGTAATTAAATTGTTTACTAATTCTACCAGAGGTAGATGGGTGCTTTTAGTCAGCTTTGTCACCTCTGTGACCAAAAGACCTGAAAGGAATCATTTTAAAGGAGGAAAATTTGACTTGACATGCAGAGTTTCAGAGGACTAAGTCCACAGACAGAAGGCTCCATGCTTTGGGGTTTGAGGTGAGGCAGAACATCATGGTGGAAGAGTGTAGTAGAGGAAGGCAGCTCAGGTCATGGTACCAGAAAGCAGAAAGACAGACACTGCAGAAGAGGACAAAAATATATATTCTGAAGGCACATCCCCAACAAAGTACCTCCTCCAGCCACAACCTACCTGTCTACAGTTACCACCCAGTTAATTCACTGATTAGATTAAGGCTATCCTAAGCCAATCATTTCACCTCTACACTGTCTTGCACTGTCTCACATATGAGCTTCTAAACCATAACAGTAGGGATTCCAAGACTTCAGACTTTTTAAACCTATCTTTAATTATAAGATAGAAACATTTTGTTTATAATAGGTAGATTTTTCAAATAAGTGGTAGCTACATAGTCATGTACTTAATATTATGAGTAATATTTTCAGAAATCATTTTTGCATCTGATGAATGATTGTTATAAGTCTCATAAAATCTCAAAGCTAATTTTAAAAGAAATTGTTTTTATTTATAGCAGAATTTAAAATGTGCTTAGTATCTGTTTCTGTCATTATTTATAGTCCTTAACTAAAGCTGCAGGGTTTCCCTTTCTGTTCAAGTCCTAGATGTAATTCTACCATAGCAGTACAGGTTATTAACTTGCTAATCCACAGAAAATTTGTAAAATTTCTCAGTATGTGTTCTTCTTCTGAAGAAATCATTTTAGTAAAATTTAATGGATGATAATATTGGAGATAGATATTTTAATGAAGTCTGTAAGTTAGAAATGACAATATTTTAATCCTGCCCCTGGACATAGAAGACTTAAGGCAGATTAAAGATACATGAATATATTTTGGTTAGGAAATAAGATCATTGTAGTCGATGATAACTAGAAGGAGAGAAATAAATAGGGTGATCAGAAAGAGAGGCTTCAGATGTCACTGGAGACAGTGTGGGTGGTGAGGGGTATTTAGGAGAG